ACTACAAGACCTAAAGGTCTTGATTTCTAACTCTTAGATGGGTTATGAAATGTAAAGTCAAATATTTCAACAAAATAGCTGTTCAACTTTTCTTGGTTTCAAATGAACGTCTGACTAATATCAATCCATAATGTATACTGTAAAATATTACAATTTCATCTATGAACAGATATTAGCATAGATGTTGTCGTTCCTTAATACTTCTGTATTACATAATTTGAGTTATTATTTCATCTAACTAGCATTTTTATACACTGAATATAATCACAATGTGATTATAATTGTTTAGTATATCATAAGTAAATTTCATATAGTCATGAAAAAATATTTTTTTTTCTGTTGTATTTCACTGAATTCATAATCGAGAATCTATTTATGACTGTTATGTGAATTTCAAGTCAATATAATGTAAATAGATAAATAAATGAGGTAAGTAAAAATTTAATTGATTGGAATATTATATATACATATATGCGCACTGCTGAGGAATCCCATACTAGGACGAAACAGCCGTCCACTGCTTTCATGTTTTCCATGGTTGACATATATATATATATATATATATATATATATATATATATCTGTTTTCCATTATTTTTTTGTAATGCAGTAATGTGAAACTCACATGCATTCAACTTACATATAATCAGTATTAAAATAATATATTTGAAGATACACTGGATATGATAGAGTACGTCAAATCATGACGTGTTTCCATAATGATGCCTAATCCAATGCTTTTAACTAGTTGCTTTCCATTAATACTAACAAAGTCAGTATCAATGTCGAAAGACTATTGATTTTAAGGAATTATTTAATACTACTGTAGTGAGGAAAACCAAATGTATTTTAGTACATTACAGAATAAGTCTGAGAACCATACAGTAAAACTTTATTTACAAAATATCCATCTATTATCTCAGACTTTGTTTTTCCTTCGTTTCCATACTAATCATTCTTTGTTGTCATTCTCTTCTCTTTGATTTTCTCAACCTTCTGCCGTCAGGCATTTCACTTTCGATTGGTAATACATAATACTCTACTAGAATTCCAACAAATCCATCTTCACAACCCTATATTGATAATTATCATTTGCTCACTAGTGACTAGATTCAAAATGTGTTAATTAATGTAAATAAAGAAGAAAGAAAGAAAGAGAAAGAGACAATATCTCTGCAACTTCATGATTTGGTTTTCAGTTTAAATTATTCAATACTTTTTGCTGTTTTATGTGAGTGGTATTAAAAAAAAGAAAAAAAAGGAGAAAAGAAAAGAAAGAAAAAATAAATTATCACATATAACAATAAATTGTTTAGCACATACATGTAAAATAACAGATTTATTTACACAATTTAATCCCCCCTTCGAAAAAACACAACAACTGAGTAATGTGTATTCAAGTGAATAAATATTCTGTTTTAATTATTTATGATACTCAACCCAATAAGTTCCCCGTGTTAATTGATAAATTAGAAAGATTACAATGTAGTATTAAATTGAATGTTAACACCTTTTTTTAATAGTGAAGAAGAACATGGTTTTTCTTCTTTGTTTTTGGTGTTTAGTGTTTTATTTTTCACATTTCAGCATTTACTTGACCCTCCATATTTCATCTCTCTCTCTCTATCTATCTATCCACACATCTATTTATCAATCTATTTATCGATACATATAACTTTGATCTTACCCAGGTAATCCTTAAGTCATTCTATGGCCTAAGATAACGAGACAATTTCTTATTCTTTCTATATGATGTAAAATGTTTCTCTCCCCTTTGTTACCTTTTTTTTTACTTGGAAATATTAATGCAAATATAATCACTTTCAGTATAGTTAAAGTTAAAACATATTCATTCACCATCAAAATGATTAATTGTTATGTTCTACCGATTAATTCACTTACGACATACTTCTGACGATGTATCAAATCCACTATAGAAATGAAAAGACATGAAAGATTAATTAATAAGGGTATATTCGACTTCTAATGGTGTGCTTCATCTAAAATACCTTGAGTAACGTTTGACATTGAAATTGCTTACGTACACAAACACATGATATGTGTGTACTCACCAAGGCTATCATCAATTTGGTTTCTTTAAAGATATATATTACATTATACTACTTTATAATGTTTACTGTTATATTCTGATGAGAATAATGAATGGTGACTATTGGAATCTATTTCTGGACTAATATTATACGTATATAATTTTGTTGTTTAATTGTTAAGTAACTAAACTACGTATATTCATATTCCTCTTATTATAAGCTTTATTTTGACCTACAGACTATTACTATACGATTTACCATTCCTAAGTTATGCCCAGTTTATCAATTACAGTCTCCCACATTCACAGCCACATTTGGCTAAATCTTGTAGAAATGTTATTTTCTATTTTATGGTGTGGTCTGTTTGATTTGTATGTAAACCCTGTATGTTTGAAATATGTGATTCATATCGCAGAGGTTGAGATTTGTGTTCTGGACTCAACAAGCAAGGTAAGGCAGAAAGCAGGACCGATAAGAACTCTAGACTGCACGTATGGGTTTATGCGTCATTGGTCCGGTTTATAAGTCACTATTCTCTAATTGAAGGTATCATTATGTTATATAAACCACAAGTTATAACATTTACCATTAACAAGGTTTGTCAAGTGTGATATTTATTTATTGAAATGAACCAATTACGATCCTACTCGTTTTTATTTTCTTCATATTTTAATGCTTTAATTAGTTTACCTCTTTACATTTCTTTCTGTTTTCAATATTTTCTTGTCCCATTTATTTATGTGACTTCATTACATTTTTCTATTCTTGCTGAAAAATTCGACTTTTTTAAAATGACAGATGTAACTGATGATAGAACACTTGAAACTTTGAAAATTCTTAGCATTTCCACTAATATTTGTATGGTAGAATGATACTTACAAACGTATGATTGATTAATTCTATGGTTGTGTTTTTGTTTTAAAGAGTAGATACATCATCTTGACGTTTACACATTTCTAATTAAAATATTGATATATATCATTGAACAAATATTAAATTCTTTGGTCATCTGTATCAATGTAGTGTCAGTTACTATGTTAACCTCACATAACTTATTGTAGTTTCTCGATAAGCCAATTTATCCATACTTCTTGAGTCATATTTTAACTTTGTTTATTATTTACTTATCAGTATTGACCGTTTTTATATTAGCGCATATATGTGTGTACACTTCTTATCCTATTCACCACATATCTGTAACTTATTTTTGTCTGACTATAAGTATCGATTAACTGTTGATTAAATTGAGTTGGCTCATTTGCATTTTCTAATCTGCTTCGCTCTTGTCCTTTTGTTTCGTCGCATTGATTGCCTTTTTAAATCAATAATGAATGCATGAAATATACATATTTAAAATCTAGATGGTTGTTGAAGGTTATCAACAGGAAACCCTGGATCCGGATTTCGTGCTACTTGGCACTCGTCAGCAAGGTGTACCTATAATCTTGAGGGAATTAGTGCTCCCTGACGGATTCGATCCCGTGTCACTCAGCTTCGCAATCAGAGACTTTACTACTGAGATATCAAGGTCGCGAACGACCGATAGCATTCGATCTGTACTAATAAGAACTTGACAAGTATATCCTATATAGTCCGATGAACTTTAAGATCAATCAAGAATTTCAAAGCTCGATAATTTGGCGTAAAATATTGAACTACTCAACAGTAGTACATTTTTCTTAAGGCTATTTTAACTATTGTTATCAGTATGTTGTTTTCTTTAATGAACTACTCTATATTTATCTTGGATTGTTGGTTCTTTTAGAATGCATTTCAAGATGTATTGTATCATAAGAAGGGTAAACAGCTTCTTTTTTTCCTTTAATACAATACTAAATCATACTATCTAGCTGGTTCTGAATAAAGTCTAATTAAGAAATTAACTTATTTATACTAAAAAAAATGAAAAGTGTATATTTATGTTCTACTTAATTAAAAATGTGATACCATTTGGCCAGTAAGCATTAATAAAGTTTTGTGAAGACATTTTTTAATTTAAGTAAATCTAGGTTATTGAAATCGATTGTTTTTCTCTATTAATTTGTACTGTTGCATTAAGTATGGATTTCATAGTTGTTATTGACTCCGGTTAGTGCTTAATTATTCATCCTTGAATTAGATTATGATTACACAGTTAGTTGTTTTACAGACAAGCAATGTCTGTCTCACTACTACATCCTGTCATTATGTTATTTGATTTTCAAAAGTACGTTTTTTTTTTCTGTGAAATTCATTATCAATCTTTGCTAGTGGCTTTTATCAGTTCGTCTAAGTTTTGTGTAATGAGTACAAGGTTAAGTATCCATAGTTAATCACTAGACATATCTGGACTTGTGCTTTTTTTAGTTGCCACTAAGATAATATTTACTGTGTTAAGGAGGTTAATACTACTAGTCGGATTCAGATTCATTCTGTTCAATGTCATAATTGAGTTATTTTGAAAGTGACTAACTATTTATAGGACTAAGATATTCACATTAATCGACATCATATTTTGTTACAATACACAAAGTTCAATACTCTTAATCAACCAGATATGAGAATAAAGAGACTGAGAAATGAATAGGGAGTTGTAATTAATGCACTGAATCCATCGGTATATATAAACTTATCATTTCGATTCAGAATCAAAACATCAAGGCTGAAATCTTGACTTTGGTCATTGGTTCAAAACCCTCAGTAGATTTGGTAATATGATATTTTATGAGCTTCCATACGTCGTTATGTACAGTAAATTATCAAAACTGGAGATATTGTCTTTAGATGATCATGTTAATATAGAATGAAAACAGTACAGTTCTTCCATATTTCTACACATATTCCGGTACTAATTAAGCCATGTAGATGTAAAAATCTTAGTAAATAGACAATCAGTGTTGAGACTTTCAAAATAAACTGAAGTCTACATTTGTCATATTCTAGGACGCTACAATAAAAACTATAAACCATGGAAATATAAAAAAGGACAAATGAATTGAATCTAGATCAGATAAACCTACTCACACAGACAATACTTTAAATTATTGATTTATTAAAATGATTTGGCTTTTTTACACAGAAAGTATCGTCAGGTAAAGTGGATATACAATCGCCACTTAAATTCAACAAATAAAGTTATACTACTCTAATATAATATAAGTAGAATAACAATTTATATGAATTAATATAAAATGAACTAATTAGTGCGTACAATCGTAGATAGTGTTGACCTCATTGAATTTCCTAATTCCATTGTATTTTGATGAGAAATTTTATTCGATATTGGCAATGCTATTGGTGGTAAAGGGAAAAGAGGGGTCTCCTTACATTTTGTCTAAAATGAGAGAGAAATAGAAACAAATCAAACGTAATATAAATGTAAAAAATTTCCGTTTATATAAATAATACATACGTGATAAATTTAGCTACACTTCAAAAAGTCGTTTCTCATAATTGAGCCGAGATTTAAACAAAGGGGAAATCTAGTGACATTGACAAGTTCACTTGCATAATATTCTATTTAAAAAATAGAAATGAGTAAGTTGTATTTCTGCGACGATTAACTATAATTATGTTTGTTTTTATTCAGTTGGTTAATCACTTGAAGAATTCGAACAGAGCAAAATTAACAAGATTCATTGAATGAAACAGACCCATTCCATCTAATAACTTGTCATTAAGTTTCATGTTAATATCATGATTAAAAATGTGAGTTTTGTATACTGCATTTAGATAAATTCGAATTTATTTCTAAAACTCAGAAGAAAGTCATCGAAGCTTGAATTTAGGCTATTACTGGCCTATGAGAAGTCTTGACGTATTATGATGGATGCATGGTATCATGGAAAATCTAATGTTCTTCCCAATGATCATACTATTTCTGTAATGAACAAAGCGTAATGAGTTCTGTTGTTCTAACTGTTAGGGTAAAAAATGTAAGAATCTACAAGGTTGGTCATTTTTAAACGATGCAATAAGTTGTACACGGCTCTCAAGTCAACAAAAAAATACAAATCCTAAAAGATAATTATATACTAATCGTACAAGCTGATGGTAGTATCAAGAGTCAATCAGAACTAGCAAAAGGTCAATTGATGAAAATCAGAAGTGCATTTCAATTGCATTTCATCAATGGGTTAATTTCCTAAGGATAGAGTGGTATATATATATATATATATATATATATATATATATATATATATATATATATAAATGAGTGTTTGTGCATTTGATACGGTAGTTCAATCCGCGTTCTCGCCCAAATAGTCAGTTGAGGGGGGGTTAGCACGTAGCGTACCGTGTATCATTATCGGATTTCGGATACCGCACGTCACAGCTATCTAAATTCAATGTTTCAGTATTATATTGCCTCTAAATGAGATAAGTGTGCTGGGTTTTAATCTCAGTATGAACACCAACAATGCAATGTAGCTATATTTTACATAGAATAGATTCAGGATTACACTGCTAGTGATAATCAATATATAATAGTGATAACAAATACTCGAATACGGATTAAAACTATTCAGCTTTCTTGATACAAAAATTAAAAAGTTGGAGTAAACGATGATGCCGAACAGGCAACTCGACTCCTATATTCATTCTAACTCGTAATCAGGGTAATTATACTCTAAAATTAGTGTTAATGACCAAAACTGTACGGTAAATGATACTTTTAGATGAAATTCAAATTTAAGGCTAATCATGAATATATTATTCAGATTTTATATTCCTTCGTATAAATAGAAGTAACATACTTGTTGATAAGTATTTCACTAATGCTTCATACAAAAGTATTCTTACTCAACATCCTTCTATTATTTAATTTATCTTAATAATATGTCAAAGATGTCGAAAATGATATGATTGATAGGAAGTAAACCACTATTTCTTACTTTGTCCTCACTAATATAATTATATGATTTGTTTGAAGATGTAAGTTGGTCAAATTCATTTGCATACTTTAATGCAGCAGTATGCAATTGTGATACTTTCAATTCTAATGTATGTCGTTTAAATGCTTCTTCACTAATTGCTTGTAGTCTGTTTTTCAAACATTGAATTCTTGATTCTGAAGCTTCTTGTAAACGATTTAAATCCCGACGTAAACGAATGATCTAAAAAGAAATGATAGAAAGTAAAGATATTAGTAAATATTCAGTGAAAATATGCTTTGGATCATATTGGTTTATTTCCTTCCAATAGAAATCTATGCTTATTATATACTGTTTTTTCTTCAATATGATTGATTAGTTAGATGAATAAGCTAATTAGCAAGTTGACATAGTAGCTGATCAGAAATGAGAACGAAATTTTGTAAAAACTTCCTGTAATTTAAAAAAGAACATTTTAACTCATAAATATGAACGTTGGTTAAGATGTTTCATAAACAGTATTTTGGTTTTTAGATGGTTTTGACTGTAATTTGGAATCAGTTAAGGAGACACTGTAAGCCATGAAGCTCCGGATAACTGTTGTGTCATAATATGTGATTCCTCAGTAGTTTGTACTCATGATCCCAAAAGATTTCTACAATGGGGCCAAGGATCCTAACTCAGTTAAACAAATGTTAGGAGCTTGCACTGATATTTAAAGGTTTTATGCTTTATTTCTACTCGTAAAGTGGTTGGGCACTGCCAAACGTTCGGCACTAGGGTGCTGCATGCTACTCACAAGATTACTTATAAATAGTATGTAGCGAAATGTTGCGTGAAAGTTGCTACAGTTGACAGCCGAAAAGAATTCCAGGAGGTCAAAAAAACACAACGTATGCACAATACTTTGGAGATCAGAAGAGAAGTTAGAGAGGACAGTCCAGAACCAATTTGGATTGAAGAACACAACAGAATGGGAATGGACGACTGAAGACTAGGTGTACACATTGCATAAGTATCTTGTAATTTCAATGAACGGACTTTTTTCTGCTTAGTGCCCGCAATAAGAAAACGGTCTCAATGTATTTCTAGTTTTCGATTTTCTCCCAGGTAATGTCACTTCACGATGAAAATACTTACAGAATAATTTTATGAAAGTTTTTCACTTAAAAACTGTTGAGGACGTTAGACCCCCAGAACTCATTTGGAAAAGGTCCTAATTTTGTAATTTTATTCTGAAAATTTGAATTTTATGTATGTTTTCGCGCCAACAGACGCTTGATTGACCTACAGCCTACATAACCCACTCGGAAATCCTTGACTGTCATTGATTGACGGACTTTTTAGTACGCTATTTTGTGACTCTCCCAAGGGCATTTCTATGATTGTATAAATAAGCTTGATGTGTGTGCTTAGTGACCTTGTATTTTCTGGTTGCTTGTGGAATACATTCTCTACACCTCATCAAGACTTCTCGATCTAGTTAGCAGTACCGGGGACAACGGATTAGAATAGCCTATCGTGTCACTGTATCTTTGACCTTTGTTTCGCTCAGTTTTAATCAGCAGCTGGATAAAGTGTACATAAACCATGAGTTTACTAAAATCTGTCTTTTCGATTCAAACGGCAAATTATAGACTGGGATCTTGACTAAGTACATAATCAACGTCTTTCATTAGACTGACACCTCTCTAATTCCTCACCTAATGTGCTTGATCCTCAGATAGCATTTGAGCACAGACACTTCGTATGTCCACAATGGGTCAGCATATCACTTTAGGTTAAAATGATTCGTTAAACATTATGAAGTAGTAAAAAATACAAATTCATTTTGTATTATTTGTTTAAATCTTCCCATTGATGTCCAGGACTGCAATTTGCCAGTCTCTTATTGGCATATGTGCATCCTGTGCGAATTGCTTCGATATTACTATTAAGCCACAAGTATTTTAAGCAAAGATGGATGGTGGCTAACAGTGGAATCAGGGATGCACGTTTTGTTCTCTACTAGGTTCGAGTCCTGGAGTGAACATCAACTCTGGGATGCAGGTACATCTAGCTGACGAGTCCGAAATGAAACGAAATGTGCGTCCTGGATTCGAATGGTAGCCACAATCCATGTTTGATTATAATAAAAAGAATCTTTGAATACTCTTCAAATCAACAATATATTATAGATAATAACTCATGTAGTAAATAATAATTTCTGCATGACTTGGTTTAACTTACTTCAGCTATAAGAGCTTGTTCGCGAAGAGCAGAAGCACTTGAACTTTCAGTAATTGGTTCTGGAACTTTTGATTTTTGATTTAAACGCGCTAATTCATTACGGAGTGAATCACATTCATGTTCTAATCTTTCTTTATTTTTTAATAAGTCATCTAATTGTTGTTTTAATTGTAACTGAAAAATGGAAAAAAAGAACTTACAATGCTTAATTTATCATCTTTGTTTTGTCGAAAACACTGGATATTGATGAAGTACTTTCATGCTACAGTAGATTCACACTAATTATTAACAACAACTACTACAAGAACTGTTTCTTGAATGGTTGATAGGATTTGTTAGTAGCTTCTATTTATTTATTTAAACACATAAACATTGGTACAAGGAGGCACCAAATACATATGCACCACACCATGCCATTCTAATTGTGTGAGAGCTGGAATACTGCTCGGGTGCCCAGACCGAAGCAGGTGGTTTACTTAGAGGCAACCCATTAGATTTTAAACTAGAGGTCTAATCTATAAGGCAACGAAGCAACGTCAGGAAATGCAGTCCCATGGTAGCCGATGACCAACATTAGGTTCGTACACGATTTTCTCCCTCAGGATCCTGGAGCTCATGTGCACTGTCAGTTTGGGATTATGGTTTTTTAACTCCCCTAGGTGGATTCTGTGTCCACCAACCCTGTTAAAGCACCAGACATTCGCTTTTCGTACTCTCAATTTCGTAAACAACACCACCACTAAAAGGCAGTGGGCAGGACTTCCCTGACAGTGGCCGTATACGCGTGGCCATGTTATAGCATTTCGAGGGGGAGAGCTGATTCTTCTCACTCTCGGTCGTACCAAAGCATTTGGGGATCAAAGTCGCTCCTATATAACCCAGATTACTTCTACACTTGAGTCCGAAATTGGAGAAAATCTGCGAAACAACAATATGAGTTTTACTTTAAAGTTGAGTAATTTACAGAAAGTAACTATTAATAGGTTTATTAGTAACCTTTCACCATTGGAATCTCCTACAATAATTCTAAAATTCGTAATAGAATAAGTAATCACCTAATCAGAGTAAGATAATATAATCCGTCTATTTTCTAGAGGACTTTGTGAGGTATGCTGAATTGTTCTTTACCTTGTTCTGTTATCTCAACACCATATCAAAAAGTTTTGGGAAGATCTCTGCATCTACGAAGTAACTTGAGGTAAAATTGACTGACGTTTTTAGGTAGATAAATCCTTAGAAACACCAAAAAGTGTAAAAACTGGCATTCTTATTGATATCAAAGAAAAGATCCATAAATATATCTGTGCTGTTGAAGAAACACAGCATACATACATATTTCCCCACCCTTTGTACTTACTTAAATACTGGTTGTTGATTGTTTATTGATAGACGTACTAGTTAGACGAATCACTTGTCCTCGATTTGAGTTGTGTTGAAGCTTTGTAGGACAGTAATGACTGGGTATCTAGTATAGTTGTTAAGTAACTAAACTATTCATGTTCGTGTCCCTCTTATTATGAGCCTCATTTTGAACTATGAACTATCATTATACGATTCACCATTCTTAAGTTATACCCAGTTTATTAATTACAGTCTCCCACGTTCACAGTCACATTTGGTTAAATCTTGTACAAATGTTGTTTCCTACCTTATTGTGTGATGTGGTTAGTTTGGTTTGTATATAAACCCTGTATGTTTGAAATAAATGTTTCATATCGCAGAGGTTGAGATTGGTGTTCTGGATTTAACAGGTGGGGCTAAGCGGTAAGGAGGACCGATAAGGACTCTAGACTGCTCGTACGGGTTTTATGTGTCATTGGTCTGGTCGATAATTCATTGTTCTTTAATTGGCGGTATCATTACGTTATAAAGTAATAGGACACAGGGAACAGTTATAACAATACTAAATTAAGATGGCATATCATGTACAATTGGAAGTCTTACCATTTCACTATCTCGATTATTTGCATAATCATGTTCTAATTTAAGTTTCTCTGATCTTAAATTATTCATTGATGCTAACATTTCATTAAGTCGTGATTCAGCTGAAGTTACTTTCTGTTTATACATTGTTAATTCATTAGTTTTATCAAGTAATTGTTTTTCTAATTTAACATAATTTGTTTTAAATTCATTCAACTGATTATTTAATCCATTAACTTTTTGTTCTGATTGGTCACGTTGTTCAGTTAATGACCTTACTTGTGATTGGACAGCACTTAAAGCAGATTTAAGAACCTGAAATTGAAAAGTTTTCAAACAAATATTCATAGTCAATTAGTATTGTTATTAATATTTTTTGTTGGATATTTGTACAGATATATAATAAGAAAACATGAATAGTTCAAATGTGAATATCTAGGATCGAAAAGTTTTATAAAATAAACATGAATATTAGAAGAATGATTTACATTATAAGGTTCAATGTTGTCGTTGTATTTGATTTCCGATGATTATTATTGTTGTTTTACATAGATTAAATCATGGACTGACGGTAGCAATAAAAACTATCAAGCTCTAGACAGTTATCTTCGAAGAATTCCTCGTGTATTTTGCGTCCATTGAGTAAGAAAAGCTTAGGTTAGGTGTGGGGTATTAGACAATGATATCACATCGATTGGTGAGGTAGTGAATCTTAATCAACTGAGAAGGTTAGGAAATGTGATAAGCATGTCCAACTCCCGCCTACTTTGATGGGTTATATTGTCTGGTGTAGGGGTAAATTGTAAGAAGCTAGGGGCAGCCAAACCAAAACATTCCATCAGTCTATGACGTTATCAACTATTGGATCGAGCCATGTTAGTAGATGTAGACCATCTGATTGGGGTTTGCGTGATTATCGTAACCGGAGGTTAGAGACTTTGAATGATATGGCTCAACATCGTTTGCAATGGCGTAGGTGCATCCAATTTTTGTCTTCCCTTTAATTTTGAGTTTCAGAAATCTATATAATTTTTCGGTTTTTATTTCAATAATTTGTATTTTCTTGAAACATATATTGGATTGGAACTTGAATCACGCAATTATTAGTAATATGACTGAGATATTTAGCAGGTAATATACCGCTTGATCTTAAGTATGATAGGCTGATAGATAATAATTTGCAAAGAGATTGTGCTAAACCTACTGCGTTTAGAGTTATGTTCATCAGTAACAACATCTAGACATTTATTTCATAATAGATTGGCTAATTCAGTGTCATGACACTAATACACTATATTACCGTTATGTTCCGTAAAAAATGTTAATTATGCTGCGTTTTTTATCTGAAAAGTTTCAGTACTAACATTATGTAAAGTATGTACATGTAAATTTATATAATGAAGCCAATCTGACTATAAGGAATTAAGCCACCTGAATTGTTACTGGTTAAAACTAATAGTTTATCTGTTAAGAACAAAACTGACCTCAATCTGCTCTAATAGATTTTTTATTTCTTTCTCTAGTGACTCCTTCTTTCTATCAAAAGAATCGGCTTGTACGGATTTGTCTTCATGAACTAGTACAACAGAAACAGGTGGAATGGCTCGTGTTGGCAATAATTCCACTGAGGAACTCCTTGAAATAACAATATTTGGCATTTCAAGATTTAATGAGTCGTATTTGTCTTCCAGTTCTTTGAATTTTTCTTGTAGACATTTCATATCTAATTCGTTTTGTTGTAAGACTGTTTCTAATTCCACAATTCGCTTACGAAGTGAATTCTGATAAAAAATAATGTTCATTACTAACGGAACTATAGGAAAACTATTCAACAGTATAATTTTATAATTCTCATAGTTAGCATCATAAATTATTCTTAGTTAGACAATTATTGAAAATCATGGGATACTAGACATCTGTTTGACTTTAGTGCAGGACCATTAACAGTGGGAATTCACGACTAGATCGGGAACTGAATGAGGAACATCAAGACACGCGTTGAGTGCTTAATCTTTAGACCCAGTACCTAATGGTTTATATATCTAACTTCAATTAATTCAGGATATGGATCAAACATCTTCCATTGCATTGGTGAGTAACAGTCTTGTATTCAACACTTCTGAAATCCACTAGTTTTGAAGTAAGTGTACCAAAATATTACATAAGAAAGAACAGTAAAAGTTGGTTAACTCAACCATAACATTATTGAATCAAGATAAAAGAGTGCTCTCTATCTGAATACCATACTTACAGGTACTCATTATAAATTAATGTTCACTCAGAAATAAGGACTAATGAATGTTGTTAACAAGATCGACAAGTTATAAGCCAAACTTTATCAATGGAATATGGACCTTATTGATAAACAAAAAATCTAGAACTAATCACTAAAATAGTTAATGGTTAATATGGGGTTCTCGTTGCAATTCTCGTTAACATTTAAATGAATAACAGACAAATTTAGAATTCTTAGAAAGTAATAAGGTTGATCTTAGTCTTGCATATGTTAGTATTTGCTACTGACAGATTTTGAATCTTCAAGGAAACATATTCCAAGGTAAATATAACAATCACTATCGCTTTTTTAACATTCAAGGTTAGATATAAAATTGATTACTATATAGAAGACGATTAGTGAAATTGTTACTAAACTTTCAGCTCATAAAATATGATAAATTAAAAGTTGCAATCATAAAAACTGAACAATATTTATGTACTATCACTCCAAAGAACATCAAAGCGATGGGACCTAAAGGCTCCAATTTAATCCATGAAGGGTTTGTGGATAGACAGAAGAGTCCTATGTTAGCTGTATAACGCTTTCTAGTTTTTCATGGTTGCTTAACTAGGATTCAATCTGTAATAAACTTCAGTGATCACAGCAAACTCCATTTACGAATTTCTCGTATACGCTGATCTACACCATTGCTGTCAGTTATTGAATAATTTGTTATTAAATATAATATTTTCTTCTAGGTTTAGTCACATGGATTCTTTGTTTCATCCTGTTCGACATGCCGCATAGTATATAAGATCACATTCAATGATCATATCAACCGACGAATTATTGATTATCAACGTATACAATTGAGAACTACTCTACAATCCTCATACAGTGATTTTGAGTACTGTTAGAGGTATAAGGACTTGATTCTGGCAATTTGTAACAGATCCAACGTTGCTTATTACTAATTCAAAATGGGCACTTGAATTCTAATAGGGTAAAATATGACCATTATTCATTACTCACGAAGACACGAATATACAAGGCTAGTAATCATCACTCGTTCACAGAGATGGAGAGATAATTATTGAAATGCTTAGTGGTTGTCAGGGTACCCTATTCAATCTAGGTTTCGTACTAGTTGATACTTGTCAGGAAAGCATACCTATAATTTTGAATTCAAACCCATATCACCCAACTTCACAGTGCAAAATATTACCACTAAGCTATTCGTGCTACAACTGACTTCATATAGCACTGAGGTATTTACAATTGATTGATCACTCAACAATAACCCGTTTTGTGTTTGCCTAATCCTTTCAGTGCTGACCAAATTTGATCGAATAATTATTAAAATCCATACTTTGCCAAATACAGTAATTTCATTTAAATTTCTTATAAAACACTAACTGATTGTTATCGTAATTCCTGTGCAAAACTTAGAGACCGTTTTTTGTTTTATTCCTAATCAACACTGATTGTTTGTTTTCTGATAATCATTCGTAAATAAAAATGTAGCCATCAACTACTTTCTAGTTTTTTTTAAAGGAATTTTTTCTAGCTATTATCCATTTCATGATTCAAACAAACTCATAAATCAATTAATGTCTTCTAAACAATCTACCGTCTCTATAACAGCACTAATAATTAGCGATTCAAGTTTCATATTAAAAAAAATTGCAGGTAATTCGAGAAATATATGTACATATTGCAGAGAAAATAAACACTATTACACGTTACATACCGTAGTTTATTCCTATCGAAAATCACGAACGGAAAGCGTCTATAAGTGATTTTTTGCTGAGATGTAGAATATTAATGGAGGAAAGAGGTTGATTATGAATACAGTGGTCTTGAGTGCTGTTAGAGGTATGAGGGAGGATATCACTTCCCGGTTGCCCATACCGTGGAAGGGTTCTTCCGGAGGTACCTGAAGAGGAAATCGGATTAGAGGTGGTCTTAGAGACCTGAAACTCCGCCTGGAGTCCCTTTCCGGGGGCTACTGCCGGTCCCAAGCCCGGATAAGGGAGGAGGGTTGGGCATGGGGTTAGCGACCCCATCCCGTAGAAAACTAACTCGCTAAAAAAACGCTAACCAGAAAAAATTATTCAAACCATTTAAACTCTGCCCTGGGAGTCAGGAGGTCTTCGTTTAGAAGAATTATGACACCTCATGATGAAAGCCGAGTTTCTTCGGAAGTCACGAGGCCGATGCCCCTTCTGACAACCAGAGCAACCATTTACTTAGGTACATGGAATGCTCGCACAATGTGGGAGACTGGGAGAGTTTTCCAAATTGCTGCAGAAATGAGGAGATACAATTTAGAGGTGCTTGGAATCAGTGAAACACATTGGACGCAGGTTGGGCAACAACGATTAGCTTCAGGGAAGCTGTTGTTATACTCCAGTCATGAAGAAAATACTCTACATACACAAGGAGTTGCATTGATGCTGTCCAAACAAGCACAAAATGCACTTATAGGATGGGAATCTCATGGACCAAGGATCATCAAAGCCTCCTTCAAAACAAAGAAAACGGGCATTACAATGAACGTCAACCAATGCTATGCGCCTACCAACGAATACAATGAAGATGCTAAAGATCAATTCTACGATAGGCTGCAGTCAATCGTCGAGAAGTGCCCAACAAAAGACCTGACTATTCTGATGGGAGACCTAAATTCCAAGGTTGGAATTGACAACACCGGATATGAAGAGATCATGGGACGACACGGACTGGGAGAAAGGAACGAAAATGGTGAGAGATTTGCAAATCTATGTGCCTTCAATAAACTGGTCATAGGCGGGACTATATTCCCACATAAATGCATACACAAAACCACATGGACTTCACCGGATCACAGCACACAGAACCAAATCGACCATATCTGCATCAACAAAAAGTTCAGGAGGACGATGGAGGACGTGAGAACAAAGAGAGGAGCTGATATAACATCAGATCATCACTTGCTGGTCGCCAAGATGAAATTGAAACTCAAGAGGCACTGGACAACGGGGAGGACAATATCACAAAAATTTAATACGGCTCTTCTTCGGGATAATGACAAACTCAATAAATTCAAGATAACCCTCAGCAATAAGTTCCAAGCCTTTCATGATCTACTCAATGGAGAAGGAACTACTATGGAGAGCAACTGGAAAGAGATAAAAGAGGCAATCACTTCAACATGTCATGAGGTTCTGTGCCAAAAGAAGCACCATCACAAGGATTGGATCACGGTCGATACACTGGATAAGATTCAAGAAAGGAGGAACAAGAAAGCAGCAATCAATACCAGTCGAACAAGAGCAGAAAAAGTCAAAGCACAGGCTGAATACACAGAAGTAAACAAGCAAGTGAAAAGGAGCATCAGAACTGACAAACGTAAATATGTCGAAGATTAAGCATTGACGGCGGAAAAGGCTGCGAGAGAAGGAAACATGAGACAACTGTATGACACAACAAAGAAACTCTCCGGAAATCACCGTAAACCAGAACGACCAGTGAAAAGCAAGGAAGGCAAGATAATCACCAACATTGAAGAACAACGAAACAGGTGGGTAGAACACTTCAAAGAACTCTTGAATTGACCAGCCCCACTGAACCCACCCAACATCGAAGCAGCACTCACGGACCTCCCAATTGATGTTGGCGCACCGACAATTGAAGAAATCAGCATGGCTATCAGACAAATCAAGAGTGGCAAAGCAGCAGGACTAGACAGCATTCCAGCAGAGGCACTGAAAGCACACGTAGCGGCAACTGCAAGGATACTCCAAACTCTCTTCAGAAAGATCTGGGATGAGGAACAGGTACCGAGAGACTGGAAAGAAGGACTTCTAGTCAAAATACCAAAGAAAGGCGATCTCAGAAACTGTGACAACTACAGGGGAATCACTCTTCTCTCAATACCAGGAAAAGTCTTCAACAGGGTATTGTTAAACAGGATGAAGGACTCCGTAGACGCCCAACTTCGAGACCAACAGGCAGGATTCCGTAAGGATAGATCGTGCACAGACCAAATCGCAACTCTACGGATCATTGTGGAACAGTCAATTGAATGGAATTCATCACTCTATATCAACTTCATCGACTACGAAAAAGCATTTGATAGCGTGGACAGAACAACCCTATGGAAGCTTCTTCGAAACTACGGCGTGCCTCAGAAGATAGTCAATATCATACAGAATTCCTATGATGGATTAAACTGCAAAATCCTGCATGGAGGACAGTTGACAAAGTCGTTCGAAGTAAAGACCGGTGTTAGGCAAGGTTGCTTACTCTCACCCTTTCTCTTTCTCCTGGTGATCGACTGGATCATGAAGACATCAACATCTGAAGGGAAGTACGGGATACAGTGGATAGCTAGGATGCGATTGGATGATCTAGACTTCGCAGATGATCTGGCTGTTCTATCGCATACGCAACAACAAATGCAGGAGAAGACAACCAGTGTAGCAGCAGCCTCAGCAGCAATAGGTCTCAATATACACGAAGAGAAAAGCAAGATTCTTCGATACAACACAGCATGCACCAATCCAATCACAATTGACGGAGAAGCTTTGGAAGATGTAAAAACCTTTACATATTTGGGCAGTATCATCGATGAACACGGTGGATCTGATGCAGATGTGAAGGCACGGATTGGCAAAGCAAGAGCAGCATATTTACAACTGAAGAACATCTGGAACTCAAAACAATTAGCAACCAACACCAAAGTCAGAATTTTCAATACAAATGTCAAGACGGTTCTACTGTATGGGGCGGAAACCTGGAAAACTACGAAATCCATCGTCCAAAAGATACAGGTGTTTATTAACAGTTGTCTACGCAAAATACTTCAGATCTGTTGGCCAAATACTATCAGCAACAACCTACTGTGGGAGAGAACAAATCAGATCCCAGTGGAGGAAGAAATCAGGAAGAAGCGCTGGAAGTGGATAGGACACACATTGAGGAAAGCACCGAACTGCGTCACAAGACAAGCCCTCATATGGAATCCTCAATGTCGAAGGAAGAGAGGAAGACCAAAGAATACGTTACGCCGGGAAATGGAGATAGATATGAGAAAAATGAACAAGAATTGGATGGAACTAGAAAAGAAGGCCCAGGACAGAGTGGGTTGGAGAATGCTGGTCGGCAGCCTATGCTCCATTGGGAGTAGCAGGCGTAAGTAAGTAAGTTAGAGACCTGAGAGCGTGACCGCAGTGCCCAAGGGACAACTGCTTGAGGCCGGTCACACACGACCTTTATGTGAATAATTTTCATGTTAGCTCCGTACTTGTTGGGACCTTACTGTCGGAGACGGAAATCCATGGGTTAAAGTGAGGTGTCCATTTTCAGGGTCGACCTTTTCTAACCCCACCCCTCCTTGTGAGACGGGCAGCATCACTGTTATACTGGTTGTCTGAAGGAAACACATTACTGCCGTCACACCTCTGTACAGTCAGCAGTACGACTTCGCCTTTGGACCTTGGTTTTGCTGCTTTTAGTCTTACTGTTCATCAACCGACCTATATGGCATAGTAGGATCTTGAGGAATGATTATTCAAGCCAGTATAGATCGATTGGTTGATTACGATAGGCAAGACCAACAGCCACGTCAAGGTAACAACAAAAGTCAAGAAAATCTTCATATATGGTTCCAGAGAGTATGAGAAATTTATGATTTTCAAGTTTCCCCTAAAAAAAATATTATAAATTAATAAAATTAAATAACTAACTTCAACTAATGTTCCATCATGTCGTTTAGCAGCATTAAGTAATCCATTTAATATAGATATTGTATTAGCTAATTGTGTTCTACATGAACCACGAATTTGTTCAATAGATTTATTATATGATTTAGATAAATTATCAATACGTGATTTCATAATTTCATAAATCTTTAAACTAATCTCTTCAATATACAATTTCATTTGATAATTTGATATATTTTTAATTTGATTTATTTGTTTTGGATATTCATTAATAAGAAGTATTAAATTGTTCAATTTATTTTTGAATTCATTTAATTCAAATAATTCAGAAATATCTGTCTAAAGAGATAAATAAAATGAAACAATAGAATAGTGACTATATCCTAGTATAGAACTCTTAAAAGTAATGCATATTCATGATACTACTAGAGATTAAAACACAAGACTTTAAGGTTTCATACTAGCTGTTTAAACTTTAGCGACTTTTTGGTTAGCGTTTTTTTTTAGCGAGTTAGTTTTCTACAGGGTGGGGTTGCTAACCCCATGCTAAATCTTTCTCCTTTATCCGGGTCTAGGACCGGCAGTAGCCCCGGAGGGGCTCCAGGCTCTGAGGAATGGAGACAGACATGAGAAAAATAAACAAAAATTGGATAGAACTGGAAAAGAAGGCCCAGGATAGAGTGGGTTGGAGAATGCTGGTTGACGGCATATGCTCGATTGGGGGTAACAGGCGTAAGTAAGTAAGTTTAACCTTTAGGCTACTGAGCCAGTTTCAATGTTTAATCTTATGTCTTCATTAATATCACATGCCCAGTCACTAATCAGAACCCTAATTATAATTTGGTTTGGTATTTATTTTATGGCTTCATGTCTTTGATTTGGTCAATTGTACATCCGACTAATACTACTGACCTTGAACTGGGATCAAGGTTCGTACTGGTCCACTATTCGCTAGTTCTTCTCTATGCCCAACTTTCAAGTCCAGAAGTAGGAATCAGCCTCCACTATTTTATATTTCAAACAGACGTAGTTTATATACAGATGAACTACAGCACGCCATAAGATGAAAAAATAACAATTCAATATAAACAAGCACAAAGTGGTTGTAAATAGGGGAGACTGACAACAATTTAGAATCAATAAATCGTGCAACAATCGTTAATAAGTTAACCGGAAGTTTATAATGAGTGGAATATATATACAGTAATTTGTGCGATAGAATTATGATCAATAATAATAATTCGATAAACCAGTACCAACTTCTACAATATTCGTTCCGTTATAACATCTAAATTCAATTACTTGACAATAACGTAATATCTTTCGATGCAATTGTTCGGTAACTGATGTAAAATTATGCAATTCAACCATTTCCATTAACTGCCTCTATAATCTGCATTGTTTGTTGTCCTAGTATAACAAGCATAGATTTGACAGTTGATTAATATCTTATGCCCTTATGTAGGAGGTTAAAATAACTTCATGTATGTTAATTGGATAAAAGTGTTTGTTTTCCTATCCTCAAACACAAAAGCAGTAAACTGGTCATTTTGTATTTTCAATGTCACTGAGTAGTTTCTACTGATGTAAAACTATTAAAAAAATAACGAATACTTTGTGGTTAACCAGTAGCCTTGTAAGTTAAGCGATAAATATTGATTAAAAAACACAATGTAGGAAATAGGTAGTAATTAGAAACTTTAAATGAATAGCAAAACTTGTCAGTAATTCGATTAATTCATCAATTTGATCTAATTAACAAGTAAGCATAATCACTTAACTAGATTGTAAACAACTTGATTCAAACTATGTATACACATATTAAGGACATTTCATACAAATTTATGAAAAGAGAACCGATTATCATGATTTAGAAAAGGATTGTAACTATTAAAGTACATACTTATCAACAGATAATTTAACCGTGATTTTATCATTGCTTCGCTTAAAAGCATTATCAGGCAGTTATATTACATCTTCTTAACATTGCCGAAACAATAGTCATACATCTGTTAAAACCAGAATTGTGTCCAAAAGAGATTGGTACAATCTCTTCTTCCACCATGGTCTTAATGTCTCGTGATTTTTTTATTTTTTCTTTATACTCTTTTCTCTTTACAACCATGTGCTTCCCCTTCCATCTTTTCCTTAAACCTTGTACCCCCGACTGATTTATTTCTGTATCTATGATCCTCCCGATTACATTTTATTTTATCATACTGAGCCATTCTTTCCCTATTATAATTTCCCTATCCATCTTTAGGATGAATATTTAAGTCCTTAACAATCAAACAATTATGAGTTACCCTGTCTAAAATTTTTTTTAATACCTTTGTTTATTCTACCTCACTGTCACTATGTCTAACAGAAGTTTATTATCATTATTATTGTAATTATGATCATCCCGAAAAATAAGTATGTATATTTCGATTATACAGCCTTGGAAATGAGTTCGCCGAAAAGAGAACTCTTCGCTGAACCAATCTTTCTTATTTAATGTATTAATGAGTGTATTCCGTTTACTAAAAGATATACACCATATGTTGAGGATTTCCATAAAATATACACTTCATCTGTAATGATTTATTCATTGCGAAGGTAATTTGTAACACATATGAATATAAACTAATGAATTATTAGAAGCCATGTAATATATGGTAAGTATTTCGTTCTATGTGGGAGAGAACAAACCAGCTTCCAGCTGAAGAGGAAATTAGGAAAAGACGTTGGAAGTGAGTAGGACACACATTGTGGAAATCATCAATCTGCATCATGAGACAAGTGCTAACTTGGGATACTGAAGGGAAACAGAAAAAAGGTCAAAGACTTGGAAGCACACATGAAAAGGATGAATAGCAACTGGAAGGGATTGCCAAGACATAGTTAGATGGAGAATGCTGGTGAGCTGGCTATGCTCCTCTACGAAGGGTAACAGGCGTAAGTAAGTATTTCGTCCTAGTTTGAGACTCATCAATAGTGTACACTCATAACCGAAACATAGAAATACCCAAATTTCGTAAAAAAATACATAATTCTTAATGTTCTAACGAAGATATTGAGAAAGCTGTAATTTTTGGAACTATTTTGCAGATTATCATACTACATATTTTTAGTGTACAATTATCAAATGACTGGATCATTATACTTCTATACTGAGTAAGTTATTGTTGTTGGATTTATTAACCGTAGCTAAACACTTTACTATTTTCTAACTACCATTAATTACTTATTCGTCCTTTGTTCCGTTCCCCTCAATCACTTAAGGCTTGAATGTATGTAAAATATGATTTCCTATTTAGCATATGCTATGGTCCGTTAACTCATGTTTGAGTACTTGATTTATAATGAAATGCGTCATCATAGAGAAGATATCTATTTGTTAACTTCGCCTTCTGACTGGACAGTGGGTTGGAGCAAGCTCTTGGACCAATATGTGTTAAGGTCTCGGTTGTTGTTTATTGGTTACTGTGTCGTTGGTATAGTAGGTTACCATGCCTACAAGCGAAACATAGAAAGTTAACCAATAAACGACCGCAATAGTCATCTGCTTCTAGTATAAGAAACTCTATCACACAAGTACAAAACAAGAAAAGAAATTCATTTTCATGAAAATTACATTAAACTTTTTTCTCACTTTTAATTCTACAAAACCATTAATATAAAGTGCATTCACTGAGAGCGATCTAATTTTACCTGTGAATAATCATCGATGAAAAGTTTCATACCATTGTGATATTTACTGATTGTCAAATCATATAATTCATTTGGAATAAAATTCGGCTCATTTGGTATAGGTAATTCGGGTGGTTTCGGTAAAATGTCAGCTAACATATGATAATCAATGCATAATGGTTCTTGTTTCTTATTGGTTAATAGTGATTGTTTTAACGTATGTGGTAAATTGTTAGTAGGAACCATATTAGTTTTGTTTTCATGCCTCTGTACACAGATAAAAAAATTGTAAAGTGAAAACTTTGGTATAGATAGATTTGTTCAACTGTAGAATATAACCAATATAAGTTCTTGTAACAAAAATATACAAATGGCGAATTTTCTCAAATCAGTGTTTAACTCGATATTGGTAGTGGATATTGAGTCTAGAATCGCATTACTATCTATCCGAAACCGTTTAAACAAAGAAATCCCACGCAATTGGACACTAAATTGCTTCAGTTCAGTAAACATCAATCGGAAATTACTTATATTCTTCGACAATTGACACATTAGGGGTAATTATCACAAGTCACAAACTTTGAAGATGATACAATTTGACATTTGAAATGATTTAAATCCGTTGTAGGCTTCAGCAGTACCTTAGAAAATGCATCACGCATGTTGTTAATAAATTAAATATTCAACCAAGTAATAAAGGGTTAGTCAAGGTCACGAAGTAACCAATAATCTGTCACTTCTGTGTGTCATATCAGGAATAAATGTTGATGTGTACCGTAGCACTATTTAAACTTGTAGTTTACATCAAGTCACGAACCGTCAGAAATACAATTTTTCTACTCGGGATATAACAAAAAATATATTTATTATGATATCGTGAATGTTTATTGATATGGGATCTGACTCCATATGATACTGGTGTTAGTGAAATATACATCATATTTACTTTGTATATATTCTGTAGACATATCTTGTTAATTGCAACCTAGGTATAAGTAGTCTAATGTACAATTATTCGAGGAACATATATTTCAAACATTTGATAATGTTAACGAACGATAAGAGGCGAGATGAAGTGCACTTTAACTGAAGTGGAAGAAATAGTTAACTCTGTGCGCATGAAGAAACAAGTACATGCACAGACACACAAGCACTAGCATACACACTTGTTTAAATCACTAACCAATGTTACAAGTGAGTAATTGGCATGGTCAAACATATAGATTACGGGACAAGTAGGAAGATTAGAAGTTTTTCTGTCCTAAGGTTAAAACAAATTACGTAGGTGTGTGAGGAAATTTTGTGGTGAGTAAAAGATCTTTTCTTACCAACTAATTTACTTTAAATATAAATTCCTATCTAAACTGTTTCTATTAGACATTGAAAATTATGTGAAAGCTAGTCATGATTTTTAAAAGTATCACACTGGTAGTTCCATACTTGTTATCTGAATAATTTAATTTATTGTACAGCTCCTTACTGGAGAACCTATACTACAGGTAATTAGGCTTTATTACTTGGCACGTGGCAACAATTACTTATTCTACAGACGTCTTGATGCTTATTGTAATAGGATGACATAATAATTTTGTTATTTTGTAGTGTCCTGGATGGTTACTTAGTAAAATGCATGAATATAATTCGGAGAATCGATCACTAGTCAACTTGAATATATTGAGTTTCTAGAATCCCTCTGATCCTTTTTGCAATATTTTTAAGCTAACATCTTTCATGCTATTGGTTTTTATCTATGTGAGCAACTCACTGCATCAACAAATGTGTTTTACGACGGATGATGAAATCGGAAAGTTCTTGACTAAAATTTAACACAATTCAAAGTAGTATAAAATAATAATTATTTTGAATAGTTTTCAAATAATAAAATACAGGTTGCAACTCCAGTCTTATCTAAGACTCATTAGTCATATATTGATGCATCCGTGTTATTACTATTCTAAATGAGACTGAAACTCAAAACCTGTAGCTATGAACAACAGCGTTTGTCTTCAAGCTGCTGAGTTATCATTAATTATTAATTATAATTTACAAGTTGATCATATAGAAATGCAAGGAATATCAAAGCATTGGTTCAAGGAAACTCAGAACCATTTAGTCTACATAAGCTTGTTTCCAAAGGGCTATATTGAGGCAGCCGGCATATGCACCAACTAAGTTTGATCAAACTTCAGTGAAAATATAAGAGGATAGTCCAAACTATTATCAATTAAATTGTAGAAAGCGTCATTTTATTGACTTTTTTGATGGTGTTAAAGAGTAAGGTTTCAAACAATTGATTTGCGTGCAAATAATATGAATTACAGTTTAACGTGATACTAAAATATTAGCGAGTTTGATATGTTTATACATATTGAATGGTACTTTTTGTGAATGTGTGACTAAGTACTAAAAACATAAGACTTTGAATCACACGATCTGTGGTTCCGACTGGAATTCGGGAGATAGGTTGTATCATCACTTCATAAATACACCACAGAGACCACGACTAACTAAAAATGTTATTCGATCAATCAGGTTATGTACAGTGATTTTTTACGAATATAGAAGTACAACGATCGCTCGTCGGGTGACAGATGTATATCCACTAAACTCACTTCGCTTTGATTATTATGATTAGACCTCAAACAACAACAAAAATTCAGTCTCAGTGAAAAAACGACTTGGGACAGATATAAATCTATTAAAATCACAACACCATATCATAGCGAGTTAAAATTAACATGGTGAATGAAAAAATCAAAATAATCGTAGTGCCAATTACCGTGAAAAAAAACTAAGTAAAGAATAAGGTTTGGAAATAAAATAATGAAGAAGTTAATGAGTGAAATAATATTGAAACGCAAAATTTGGAAAGTTAAGAAGGCATATGTCACTATCATTGCAACCCTCTTTGATACTATGCTAACGTCACCAACATTTAATCACGTCGTCGGTCTGCACCAACTAGCAGCCAATAACTTCATGAACTACCGTCGTGTTGGTTTCGTTGTATCTAGTCTTTACAATTTACGCCTTGTGTTGTCCTGCATTGTATGGGGGCATGGTTTAAATTTTTTTGACTTGTGCTCTAAAGTCTATAACTTATAAATTAACTAAGTGTTTGGATACTAATACAATACCGGTCACTATGACCGAAAGAGATGTGGCAGGGTTCAAATCCAAGACTAAGTGGCTGAAAGTTTAAAATTCTAACCACTGGCGATACTTTAAAGACATTTAAACCCCAAATATGATGCAGAGTTGAATGAGCAAACTAGTATTTGGTCACTCAGTTACAACATTCCACATAATTTACAATAAACTTTCTCATTAAAATAAAAAAGTCGAATGAAAGTTTAAATAAAGCTTTTAAATACCAATAAATCTACTGCATTACCGATAAATGTATAGCACACTGACGGGTGAGGGATTTCAAGACTGATCTAAGGCCTAACCAATCGGAATGCAGCTTTTATGAAAGAGCTCTTTATTCAAAGAACATGACCTAGGGATTAAAGATGATTAATGAAGTTATTACGGGGTAATTATTTAAAATCAGCTTTCGTTTATTTTGATTGTTCGTTGATAATCGTATAACTTCACCGGATTACCTTAGTAAACCTGAAAAAAATTATGTAATACCAGGAAGTACCCATTAAATACATACAAAAGTGCACACATACACAAATCTTTGTGTGTATATTTGTCAGTTAGCGCAAAAACTACAATTCATGTATATGATTTAAAGGTGAAAAACTGATCACCCAATAATCCACAAAATAAATCTACCTCTTTAATTTTTGTAAGAAAAAGAAAGAAAGAAACACTGAAAAAAAAGGAACATTTTCAGTAGTAGTTTCTTTTATTCACTTGTAATTTCACATAAAATAAATAAAAAATATATGTGACCTATCGTCATAAGTTGTACATTTTGTATTAAAATGTTATAACACAAAGACTAACCAATAAAAACAAAAGTTAATTAGAAAAAGATTTTGCCAACAACAGTGTCAAACTTAATTAGATATGTGGGAGCATAGATTATCCGAAAATATAGCCATTATCACTTCATAATTTCAATCTTTTTATCATTCGTTCCTCATTTACCTCGGTCATTTTGTTGATAATATTTTTTGTGAACGTTACTGAGAATGTGAATGACAAAATTCTAATAGTTTATCACATAGTTGAGATGAACGATGACATAATTTAGCTTTGTCTAAAACTTTAATCACCAGATCTGAAGCGAATTGATTGATTCTTAAGAGAACACGTGATACACTGGCACGTATTCGTGAGTTAGGATCATCTAAATGAATAATGAGGTTATTTAGGAAATCTTCTATAACAGCAGTATAAACTGGATTTAATTGCTGAGATGTTTTAATGGTTGTTATTGTTGATGATGTTAACATTGGAATAAGTAGACGAATCCACGCATTGATTGTTTCACAGATAAGTAGTCGTATCTAGTTATAAATCCGGAAAGAAAGAAAAAAGACGGAACAAACCATATGTTAGTAGTTGTGATACTTATTACTTTCGTGTCCTATAAAGTTTGCTTGCTAAATTGTACTACTTATTAAAATTCAGTAAAGTAATATCAAATTCGATCAAGTTTACGACATGATGTGCAAGGTATCTGGGTTGTTGTACATCATCATTACGAAGTGTTTGAATGAATCTGCAATATTCTCCTTATTTATTATAGAAAGGTGATAATTTATTTATATGTAATACATTCTTTGAGTATTTTTTTTAGATGTAACAGCTTCCAAGTTTTGTGTTTTTAGTCACAGTTCCGACTATTAACAGCTACTGTAAATTTAGACACAGCTAATAGATGATATATGGATTATATGTTTGTAAATAATTTTTATATACCTATTCCAGGAAGAATCACCCTTTCGATTACATACATTGCAGCGTACAAATACTACAGAAATATAAAGAATTGAATTTTGCAAATATTTTACATCTATTTTGAAATAATATTACCGATTTACAGATCGGGATTTTGAGCATAATTCAGTCATTTCGTTAGACTCTCCAACATACTTAACATTAAAGCTGATTTCGAGTGGATAAATCAGACTACTTAAACATAACTATCAAAAGAACCTAAGACCGGATCTCCGTACGGGTGAACAAGCAATGCCTTATTAATTAAAGTGCTTGATTATCAGCCAATACGTTCCAGATTCGAATACTATTTATTTTTATTTATTTTAACACATAGATATCGGTACAAGAAGGCACCAAATACATATGCGCCACACAGATCTCATTTGATATGTGTGAGGGCTGTGATACTGCTCGGGTGCCCAAACCGAAGCAGGTGGTTTTCTTAGGGGGCCACACCCCGAGCCTTTGACCTGAAGATCTGATCCACAAGGCAGTGGAGCATCGTGAGGAGATGCAGTCCCATGGTAGCCGGTGACCAACGATTGGTTCATACGCCATTTGTTCCCGCAGGATACTGGAGCCCATGTGCACCATTGGTTTGGGATCCGGTTAAAGCGCCGGAAATTCGCTTTTCGTCCTCTCATTTTCGTACTCAACACCCCCGCCACGAGAAGGCAGTGAGTAGGACTTCCCTGGCAGGGGCTGTATACGCGTGGCCATATGAGAGCATTTCGAGAGGGGGAGCGGACTCCCCCCACTCTCGGCCATACCAGG